CCCCACCCCGCCCCGTTGCCATGCCTAACTGGCATAGATAGTGGTAGGTGCAAGTCCCTTACTTCCAAGAAAGCTATGAACATGGGCCCTCAAAGTTAAAGCCCATAATGGTTGTAATGAGCAATTGGTTGATTGATGGCAAATGGTGAACCCTATTCTCCTATGGTTCAACACGAATTTCCGAGCATTTTTTTAACAGTCCAGTTGGCCCAAAAACATCACATTTTTGGGGACCCGTTGCCAATTGGGGGTTTGTTGCTGCTGTAGGTTACACTCCTTCACATATTAGAATAAATTTCTCTATAAAAATTGTCTAGTAAAATAAAAATAAAATAAGTTTTTATATAAACTAAAAAAAGTATATATACACATATATAAATTAAAAATAAGTCTTTAAAGAAAGTTACCACGAGAAATTATTTTACGTATATGGATCAATTTAATTTAAAGTTTGTGATACATAACATGTTATTGTGACCACTTAAAAGGATCTCATCTCCCATGATGACTAAATTGTCATGTGTTTGATTTCAGGGTTTGATGGACATGAATAAACCTGCCGAAATGATCTCCGGCAACATGACAGCAGGTTGAAAAATAGAATCTGTTTTCAAGGGAACTTGGAATGTCCTAGCAATGTATAGCATATATATTGTATAATGTGGCTAATGTTTTTATATTTTTCTTTTTCAAATTAATGTGTTGGTGCTGCAGTGATGTGTGTCTATTCAGCATTGTTCATGAGATTTGCATGGATGGTACAACCTCGAAACTATCTACTTCTTTCTTGCCATGCATCCAATGAGGTCGTACAATTATGTCAACTCTCCCGTTGGGCAAAGGGCAATGGGTACACAACTTAGCAATTTGATAGAACTAATTAACTATGAATTTATTCTGTTTTGTGTGTCTAACCTTTAATTGATGGATATTTTTTATCTGAAAATAGCTTTAACTTCTAACTCTATGTATGTCTTGAACCCATCAGTATCAACTTTAGAACATTAGTAGCAGCCAAGTAAAGATAAGGAGGGGAAAAATACTTATATCTAAATATATCAAACTTTCAGTAATATTATCAGTGAAAAAGAGAGACATCATGTTTTATTAATATCGTGGGATGTGGAGGTTATAAAGAGATTATATTATATTATATTTTTTTTAAAATAATAATTTTTATTTAAATTAATTAAATAAAATTATTGAGTTATCATTCATTGAAGAAAAAAAACAAAGAATTGTGTAATTATCATAATAAATAAAGAATAAAAACGTTTCAAAAATTGTGAATATGATATCATTTTCTCATAAATAAGACCCTTTTTATATTAAAATATATAATTTAGTCATTTAACTTAATGTTATTAATATAAATTATATTTTTCTCTTCCGAGACATGCTAGTATTATACTATTCATCTTATATATGTTAAAATATAAAATAAATTACATTTTTATCCATTAATATTTCAACAATTATATATCACTCTTTTAATATATTAATTTAACATTATTAAAGAATTATCATTATAAGATTTTAAAAAATATTTTTAATTTAATTGTTCATAAAAAATATAATTTTAATTAAAATATATTTCCAAATATTTTTAAGTTCATTTCCATTCACTTATTGAATTAAAAAATTGTAAAATATGTAATTAAATTTAAATTAGTTTATTAAAATAATAAATTAAATAAAAATAAAAATTAAATTATATATTATATTTTTATATATAGGTAAATATATATAATATGAATTAACACACACACACACACACACACATATATATATATATA